TGAAATCCCAGTTTTCACGCAGCCGGTTAATTTGGGGTCGTGCACTCGTCCGCACCACATTCTGGCAACAATTAGAATGCGGCTCCTTGTTCAGGGGTTTCATACAATGTTGCTTCTTCCCCGCTGTTTCGGAATCGTAATGCCCAATTTCGTTCCGAAACTATTCTCGGCATTTGTCTTACCCAACCTGGAATATTGTATCCAGGCTTGTCCACCATAGGTTATACGAGAGAAAATAGATTTGGTGAATGTGTTACCAGCGGACATTCGGTTATTGCAGGGTAGACGGGGACAGACGTATCCTAAACGCTTGCTCAGTTTGGGGATGTACTGCATGTACTACGGAAGGATAACAGGGCACCACATTCGCACTACTTACTTTGCCGTGTAAGATCGATTGATTGCTGTGAAAAGCGGCCATTAGTGTTCATGCATACTACAACTGCTAACTACAAGGCGGTGTAAGAGACGCCGAAAAACTCAACCTTGCATTCCCTAATGGCATGCACCGGAAAGGATGTGCAATGCTTAGTAGCCTTGTGCGGTAAGGGAGTATCCGTTCTCACCCAGTAAAAAAGTATATTTCGCAGCAGCAATGGTGCCTCGGTGACTATCCGTCCTGACTGCGTAGCTGCCGGAAGGGTTGACCGAGGTTACGGGTTACGATGCGGTATGTAAGCAGGATGCCACCGTAACGTGGTTGACACGTTGCGCCACGTAAATCCTCAGAGAGACACGGTGTACAAGCCTCCACACTGTGCTGGGTGTGGTCGTGAAGAAACTGCATTTGACATCCCAAACATATGGTCCATCAGAACACGGAAGCAATGGAGAATGGAACAAGTCTTACGTAACACTGCACCAGCAGCTTCCTCCTAACAATGAGAATGCCACTTACAGCTGCTGTGAAATCTAACTGACAGCAATGGATAAAAGCAAAGGACATAAAACGGTGACCGACTGAACGACCCTGGAAACACCTCGTGTAAGCCCATCTGATAGTTTCACTCGAGATAAAGGTACCATTAGGTATGCCCAAACGGCTAGGGTGATCGTTGAAGTATAAGTATCTAAAAGCGGTACGAAAGCTTATGGAAGGCATAAGCTGTTCAGTTCCAGGCGAAATGCTCACGCCCTTGTGGGTGAGGTCATGCACACTCATCCCCACGCGGCTGATCACTAAGCAGCTGGGAGGTAAGATGACGTCACAAATGCAGTGCGAGAGCAAGGAATGCATGTAGTACCGATAGTACTTCAAGCGTAGTTCTTATCTTTTCCATATATGGTATCCTGGTGCTTCGCAATGCACAACGGTTCTTCAGGTAGGCTGGAGGATTAAGTTGTAATAAAAGCACCTAGGAGAGAATGTGTATCATCACAAAGCGGCATAATTGCGGTGGTTTTGATGTCCTTAGGTAAACCTGACCACACACATCATGTGTGATCCCTATGGCGAGGTAGGTATCTGTGCCGCAACCGTCACGTAGGGGAGGCACCGCATACGGGAGTAGTTGGTTAGGTCTTTAAAAGACTTGGTGCTAAATACAAGGCGCATCGAGATAAAACATCCTCACTCCATCTGGATGCATACTTGTTTTTCATCTTGAACAGCCACAAGCTCCGTGAACTTCAAGTAATATTTGTGTAACGTCACTCCATTATTATTTCATCGCATTAAAAAGTACGTTTTCCGGATGGTATGTTAGGATGCAAGACGTTGTCGCAAATATTATCAAAGTTGTGCTAATGTCGTGCCAAACGCATGAGACAAGGCAACCATTGTTGGTTTTCTCAATTCGTTCTTCAGTTTTGATTGCAAGCATATAATTTAACTCTTATACGTTAAGTGGATTTCAAATGCACCTGTTTTTTTAAGAAAGATTGAACGGTCGTGTAATACACTGTTTCCCACAAAGAGATATTAAAACGCAGTTAATGAGAAGTCGCGTTTAAGCAAGCAGCACACTACTATCGTTGAATTCAAGAGTCACGATATCCGTATTGCTAATATAAGGGTGACCTTTTTAGTGCAATTACTTGAATTTGACGGATGTGCAACTAATTTATGTTTGATAGCTGTAGATTACATATATTTTTATCTTCACAAAAGATGCACACGTATCATTATACACTACCACAATTCTGGGTCTGCCTGAAAAAAAAGGGTTGTGTAGAATTAACTACGCGGCAGCCACATCGTCGCCTTAGCGAAGTTTACATTTTTGAGTTCGGCCGATGAAGTGTAAACATTAGGGCATGAGTACTGTGAGTTGTTAGAAATTTGGATCAACCGGTCCCTCAGCTCTTAAACATGAAGTTTCTGACCAACACTGGATGCAATAACTAGGCCGAAGATTTTTCGAGGAAGCAACACTTTCATTTCCTTAAACTTCTACAATGAGAGGGGAACCGGAAGTGAAATAGAACAGTCTTGCTTTCCAAGCAATCTTTGTGCAGATTCCACAACTCATTACACTAGCTCGACGGACACCATTACTGATGAGTATAAACCATACGGAATGCAGCGTAGGCCGATTTGTAGGTATTCTAGCTTTGGAAAAACGTCAGCATTTAATAGGAACCACTTGAAGCTGGTCACAGAACAAGCATTGCCTTAATCGCGTGGACGTTATAGTGTGCAGTAAATGTGGACAAAATTGTATGAATTTAGGGCAGTCAACTGAAATACATGTAAATCGTTTGCCTGTTGGTCTCAATTCAACTTCCTTGTCAATAGTTTGTTCATGTTTCTTGACTTTGACATGTCAAATCTACGATTGCAAACATGTGTGCGGAATACACCAAATAATATCTCTATCCAGACAAATAAAACGAAGTTATTTCCAACTGCAGCTTTGTCGGTGTTTAGTGATTAACAAGTGACCATCTTGCTAATTAAATCAATGTAAACTATCCAGAAATCAGCAGTAGAAATATTCAACAAGGTCACCATCTGATAAGGTTCATTTACCACCAGTAGTGTGTATACGAGTAGTTTAAGAGAGCATCAACTGGTGGCGTAGGTGAATAGTAAGCAAGTAGTTTCACCTGAAGGAATTAAAGACACCCGGATAGTGATGGATCTCTGTATGTGACATCCATTGTGAACCTTCTTCCATCAAGTTTAAAATACAGCTCTTTTGTCAGCTTATCACTACTTATCTTTGCCCACCGTCTAAGTAAAAGCTTTGTGACGCTAGGAAATTTCATATTGATAGACAATTTTTGACGACAGCTTATCGCGTTGTGCTGAGCAAAATGCTTTGATATACACCAAACTGCCCTCTGTCTAACAGACTAGTAGTACAGTGTGGTGATTTTTCTCCAGTGTATTATGGCTGTGTCAGATGGAACAAACACATATTTGATTCTGGGTGAGCAAGGCTGACTTTATTCGCATGCAGCACAGATTAGTCAAAACCAATTCACTTGGAACGGGTTTCCGATACGATCAGTTAAGGTATCACTCTGGAACTGCATTACTTGCCCCGTTCTGTGGATACCAAATATATTTTCTCTTAATCTACCCTCGGCGGAGTTTGGACAACTGAGCGCTTTTACAACCGGTTGGTTTGTATCGATCATTGCGTCTGTAACCGTGGCCTGTTTGGACCTGTGTGAATTCTCGTGCACTTTTGATAGGTCGTATAAGCCCTAAAATCCTAGTCTGTTTCCTCGGCGGTTTGTCGATAACTGTTTAATTCCTCTTGATTACTGAAACAAAAACGGTGAAATTTGTCCCCTATTTTCTTATCCTTGTCCACATAAAATAGTTTTCACAAGCCCTAAAACCGAGTGACCAATCAGTAAAAATGCTCGTTACCTCAGTTTAAACAAGAAACTCAAAGAAGAGACAGGAAGCCATTGAAATGCTGGCAAAACATCCTGCTTATTGACCACCACGCGGTCTCCTCCAGCCAGGTCCTTGACGAGCGAATGGAGCTCGACGCAGTAGACGCTCAGGTGCCATGCGTAGTACGTGACCCAGCCATCTGAACTGGCGCAACAAAACTAGTTTGTTGAAGGGAATACTCGCAATCCCCAAGGTGCGAATTTGAAGGTCTTTACTATTAACTCGATGTTGCCACCAAACACGAGCGATCCTCCTTAAGCAACCGTTGTCGAAGGCAGAAAGACGACGCATGTCTTCCACGCGAATCGGCCAGGGCTCACTCCCATACAACAACACTGAGCGAACTGATGCGCTGTAAACGTGGCCCTTTAGTGAGAATGAGACGTCGCGACGACGCCACAAGTGCCTCAGATTGACAAATGCTGATCGAGCTTTAGCGATACGAAGCGAAACTTCTTGGTTGATAGTGCCGGCAGCAGAAACACAGCTCCCAATGTAGACGAAACTATCTACCTGTTCAAGTTGTGCACCTTCGAGAGTGAGCATGGGAGTAGGTGAAAGCCAATCCTTGAGCAGTACGTTGCACCTCGATGGGGCGAAGCGCATGCCATACTTAGATGCTTTAACCGCCAAAGGATCCAGAATGAGTTGCATACTCTGAGGATCGTCACCTAGTAAGGCGATATCATCAGCATAATCTAAGTCGGTCGAGCGCTCACCCGGTAGAAGCTCTAAGCCAAAATGTTGGAAAAATTCTAGAGCATTCGACAGAACGTCTTCGATTGCAAAGTTGAAGAGGAATGGGGACATATAGCAGCCCTGTCGCACACCGCTATTGACAGCGCATTGCGAGGAAAGCTTGCCATTGACCCCCACTCTGCCGGATGTATGAAGGTAAAGCGCTCGTAAGATGGCGTCAGTGGAGCACTAGCGACGCTCATGTTCGAATGGTTGCGATCGCAATAGTCTGTAACCATTAAGAGTTTGCTTTTGCAAATAAAATGGTATGTGCTTTGAACCATTATGCTTGCTATGTATGGATTGTTAATCGTTTCACCGTTTGACGGTCACCTGCAACATTTCCGTTCAGATCACGAACGCCATGGTTTCACTTGAAAGTTTTCAACCAACTGTGGTGAATTGCACGATGACATCCCTAATCGGTCGTCCCAATCGAGGGCTATTTAACGTTACTTTCAATGACATCGGAGAAATCGTGATCATCAGCAAATTTGTGAGACGATTACGTGAATTCTTTAGTATTATATACGAGAGGAATATTTATCAACGTGGACCTGTTGCGAGTAGCGTAGAGCTACTACGCGGTAAGTCTTAGCGTTAGCCGGAACATAAATGTTTTAGACATTTATGAGATTTTAAATGATTTTTAAGTGCCACAGTCGAGTTCCCGACCATCCGCCAAGCAGAGATCCACATTTACCCGTGAAACTAAGGATTCAAGTCAAAAGTAGCTAATGTCAATGACAAATGAAATCACAAATATCTTAACGTGAATATCGTAAGCATGTAATTTATGGCATTGCGGCATTATTGATTAAATATTTTCCCTGATTCATTGCAGTTAGCGGAGAAGGTACCGAGCAAGCGAGTAAGTAAGATGGCAATTGTTTAGTTTAATACCATCATTGCATGCGAATTGAACAAAAGTAAGAAATCGCATAGGAAACCGTGGCAAAGTTTAGCTTGTATTAAATGTTTGTCAGAGTTCAAGCAACATATCTTCAGGTTGCAAATGAAATTTTCTAAGTCATATGCCCAAATGCATAATTTCAAGGCTTATCTTCGGATTGTTTGACTCATCATATCACAAATGCGAGAAAGGAAGTCAAAAGTGAAAAAATAGTTGTGCAAAACTCGATAGCTTACCAGACAAGTTAGAAAGCAAGTGCCGTAGGGGCCTACTAACCAAACATGTGGGCGGTAATTTTTCAAATATCGTTAACTGCATATTTTAGGTATAACCCAATTTAACTTACCATTTCCACATTTCCCCTGTCTGTTTTTAGCCAAGCGCGTTAGAAATTGCAAACTTTCATCAAAGCATTTTTGTGTTAATTGCAGCTATTCAATTTGATGTAGAAATCTCCGAAAAGGGCTGGCCGGATGATTGGGACAGTTTCTACGGTAATTCAGGTGTATTAAAAAGCGTCGAACGAAGCCTTTGCTCGGAAGTAAGTTTGCTGCAACTGAACATTGCGTATGCAAGATCTTTGAAAATACTTAAACTAGACAAGTAGTTCATGATTTTGGAAGCGTTTAAAGTAAAATTTATTTGTTTGAAGATCTGTAGAACTAATATTTAAAATATGGATTTTTTGCAATTGAAAACTTTCGAAACACGCTTGATAATTTTATGGAATCGCGGTGAACAGCGACTGTACTTTGCATATCACTGGATGGTTCGTACTTCCTCCTCTACATCGAGATTCAAATTAGTTGGTCGCAAAGTGACCGTCTCGCTCCTTTTGAACATACTGCTGGAGGTTTCATATACCTGCGTTCTTCCCAGTCTTGCAGCCAAAGAAATGTTTGTTTGCGTTGCGCCCACCTGTGTGCCGTGCACATTTTCGTAGCTGTGTTTTCTTTTATACTGTGTGAGTATTTTTATGCTACTGCTTTCACTTAGCGATTTAGAATATGGAAAACAGGAATTATAACTGATTTAACTAGACCCTATTATTTGGAAGGTTAGAATTGCTGCAGAATTCCACACTTATAAATGGAATTAGTTTCGGCCGCGAATATTGTCTCCTGCTAACTACAACCTAATAAAACGTTTTTTTGTGTAATCACAACGATCTATATAATTGCTTAAAGTGAGCGGAGTACTTTTGCTTAATCCGGGAAAGATATGTATCATCCAGAGCTAAAATTCATCGTTTTAGAAACGATGCGTGAGAGCTGATGGCCAGTCCTGAATCCTAAGGAGCCCATACATTTTCATAACGCGCAGTGATTCAGTTACTGTTCATTGACGCAAAATGCAGTTAAGGATGTCTTGCTGTATGTGAGGGTAAAGCACCAGTTCCCGGAAGTAACAGTTAATTGACGTTCTCAACTGAATGCTGACCACTTGATCATTTACAGTTAGGTAATAGAAAATGAATTTTACTATTTTCCCCAATGCAGCGCAATAGCCACTTGCAAAAATTCATTTAATACTTGTGCAGGATACTCACCTGGTTTCTATTCATTTCACTTTGATTATAGTTAGAAACTGCCAGCTGAGTTGTATCACTGTTGGTTAGAACAACTGTGGACACTAGGCGATCGGTGATCAAGTTAACTCGTTGTTGCGTACAAACGGCCAGCTTAAGTGGGAAGCTAACGATTCACCATGCTCCTGATGAGGCCGATTGTGGCCAATCGCTCATTTTGTCCGTATACTACATACCAGTATGGTGTACTCGTTGACTTATTATCCAAGGAGTTAGCACTAAACAAGGTCCGATAGTCACAGTTTTAGAAAGTAAGGAATGAAGACGAATTTATTCTAACTAACCATTGCTGAGATAACGAAATATCGTTTTAAGTCATCACATGATGTGGTTAAAACCACTAGGCGGATAATGCACGGGCGGAAGGATGAACAGGCATTCGGGTGCTGTTCGGTTGGGTTTAGCTACCTGACAATGTCCGGGCGTAATCACTTATCTCTACGCTATCAAAATCCACTTACATTTCCATTGTGATATTGACTAATGAGTATTTGAAATGCAGATGGTTTAAGCTGCAAACGACGCGTCCATATGCTGATAAATATTCCTAGTTTTTCAACCTGTAAAAATTGGCGCCTAGCTTTTCAGCTACTAACCGTTTTTCACCTATGAAACCGTGTATCGAATTATGTGCTGGCTAAATGAATGTAAGGTGTCTTAATTACCTGTGCTCGTTTAACTCATCAGGCAAATAGCGAGGCTGCGACTCGAACCGGACACATTTACGTGTCAGCCTAAAAGTCTAACAACAAGCCATTGAGCTACGGCTTGAAACGCTTGTCACAATGGTTGCTGAGACTGAGGATATCCGCTGCAATCCATTCGAAAAATGACAGCTGCAAATGGAACAATGGTATAATACGGATAAAACACCCGAAGCTTGACAAGTCTCGATGGATGGTTTGTAGGGAGAACCTCAGTTCAAAAAAGTAACAAAAGGTAAAAAACGCAACTGTGAATTCAACATATTCTTCAAATTTACCCAAAGCGATATCCGTCTAACCCGATTTCGTGGGGTTGGTGACTGCAATGTTTGCCTGCTTCATGTCGGCACTTAATGAGTAGAAATCAGCTGAAGTAATGTAGATGGTGTAAACTATGGTCGAGTATATTTGAAAAATGGGTAGAGTAGGTGGGGAAATGAAAATGTCGAAATAGCATTCAACGATTGACAAACTCGAGGGGGATAATAATTCCGATGGCATTCAAGCCGACTGTATTGGGTGACATGTTTCAACTTAAAGCTTCTTAATTGCTTGTACGGCTAAACTTTAGGAGGTGTCGGCAGGCTTGACCAAAGTTTTTCATGATCTGGAACGCCAGGATGAGATCACCACGTAGACGGTTGTATCTGTAGTTGTACTCCGATGCGCACTCAGTCGACTATGGTATTTCAAGTGGGACAATCCCTCCATAATTTTCGTTGCCCTTCGCTGAGCAGTCTACAGCGCAGCCAGATTGTGTTATAATCAAGATTGCCAAGCTTGGCTCGTGGACTCTACATGCATTTTCACATATGCATTGAACAACTGCGGGAAGATGGAGGGACCAAGCTTCCCGAAAACCCTCCGTAACAGAACAACATGTTACTTCACGGTTTTGGAAGCATTCAAGGACTACGCCAAACAGCCGAGATCATCTTGCATCACCACCACAAGTTCGCACTGTTATGTGCGAAGTAGAAGTAGACGTGCGCTTGATCCCCAAATACAGCGTACTAGTGCTTGCTTGTGAAGGAGTGCGGGCCGACTCCGTTGATGAAAGGTGGCCACCACCCACATGCCTCCCGGCCTCATTCCTTCGGGTTTACCCTGGATAACGGGTACGGAACTAGCGCTGTGGATGGTGCAACACAAGCCACCCATAGTTCCCCTGTAAACGCAGGTGTCCTGTGGATGTCCTATGGAATTTGCAGTGACAGGTAACTACGGAACCGTACGCCGCCAACCATTACTGAATGAATGCAGGTAGTGTGGTAAAATGGAAAGTTTGTATAAACAAACTTGCTTATTATTGCACATACTCAGCAATTACAAGTTTCCCACGATAGAAAAGCAACGGTACTTACCAACAAAACAATTGTTCTTACGTTTTGGATGTGAACCGAGAAGCCCTCAAATTAGCCCAGAGGTCAAACTTGTAATGTCCCGTGCTATTCTGCCTAAACTGGCAGGTAATATCAAAGCAGGTATTTGACTTCAGCGTTTGAAATTGCTGCATCAGATGCAGGCGACTTGTGTTCTTGGAGATTATATTTTTCAATGAAACAGTTCCGACAATACTTATTCTTTTGCTCTTTGAATACACCATTTGCGCTCAATAAGTCACTTGGTGCGGACAAATAGTTTGTCTACACATGGCGGCTTGTGCCAAACTTTAGGTAGAGATGAACTGAATTTTGGTAGCCATTATAATCTAACTACGGTGCTCACAGCTACTGTAAAATAGAGATTATGGAGAAGATTGTGATAAATTCAATCACTAAACTTTTGTGAGTAATGGGTTAATGGCACATGTGTCGTTTCGTTAGTTCACGTGGTTTGATTCGCAACCATTTTAGTCGTCTTTAAATAACCAATGGATTTTATACAGCCTCAAATACCAGTATGTTTAGTTGGGGAATATTAAAGTTTTATATCAGTGTCGTATTAAACACTGCTGCTACTACACCTAATACTAATAAAACAATAAGTAATGTTATAAGGTACCTTTCTCATCGTATGAGAAACAGTGTCCAAATTTGGCACATACCACATAGTACAGAAAATAGCATACACAGTTATGTGTGATAAACGGTTATGTTATTTTCGTTGTCTTTGTTGTTTATAGGGTATGCATTTATTCACAGGCGTGTTTCAACGCAATTGGCACTAGTTGGATTAGGGGACAATAAAAACACTAAGGGTGCACCACACTGCGTGAAATTATTTTGGTCTCTCCCATCAAATGTTATCTAGCCCTTCTTGGGACAAATCGTCAGTTGACCTCTCCCAGTAGAACTGGGTCATAATCATGTTCAAGTCTCGGTCATTAGCGAGCTTATTGCGAAAGGCAGTTGCACTCTCACAGAACTGATTGCAACTAGAGCTTATCCACTGGACAGCATATCAGACCTCAGATTTTTTCCGCACTATGGTACACTCAGTGTAAACTACTTATTACGTACCAGCTCCGTTGTCAAACCATGCTGTTTTTCCAAGAAAGCCAAACAGCTGTGGGTGTTTTGAGTAACCGTGTTTTAGAGAAGCATCAAGTTACGCCACAATTATCTGTGTCTAAGCGGATTGACTTGGAATTGTTGGTAGCGTTCCAGATATTTCTTACTGGAACTTTTGTTTAGCAGACGTTTGGTGAATGACCACTGTAGAATTTCTAGAGATGCTCTGTCAGAGAACCTCATGCTGTCACAATTGATACTGCAATATATCAAAAGGGGGCGAGCGAGACTTTTGAATATTTCTACTCCGGCTCGGGTTATATGGACTTTAGACAGTAAATTAGACACTGACATTCTGGCATTGACCAGCTGTTTATTCAAGGTGTCTTTAAACGTTGGAAGCACAAGAAAACCTGTTTTCATGTTTGCCAGAAGTCAGCTGTACACAAAGGTGTTCGTTGTTGAGCGTAATCGATCCCTCGGGTATCAAACTACCGCAATACATGTTGCTAGATTTTTCGCCGAGAACTTCATCATCCAAGTGTCACCTTATTTCTCAAGAGAGTGGAAGTCTTTTTGTATGAGCAGTAGTCGGCTTGAACTTTAGCTGTTTGGAATTTATCGATTATCTTTATGTCACCTGCAAATAGAAAAGGCATACCGTGTATAAAAACAGCACCGCTGTCACTGACGTGGAGCAGAAACAGTAACGTACCAAGTACACTCGCTTAGATAACACCACTAGTGATTGGATGGGGGTGAAGTGTAGTGGTGGTATAGGAAAACAAACTGAGAACAACTGCTCAGCTATGAAGATAGCCAGCCTATGGGTGGGTCATCGATTCCAATGGAAGAAGGCGTT